ATTGACCACATGCTTGGTCACAAAGCAAATCTCAACAGATACAAAAACATTGGAATCACCTTCTGTATCTTATCAGACCACTATACCTTAAAGTTAGAATTCAACAACAACAAAATTATAGAAAGCCTACAATCTCATGGAAACTGAATAATGCCCACCTGAAACACCAACGGCTCAAGGAAGAAATAAAGAAAGAAATTAAAGAATTCCTAGAATTCAATGAAAATGAAAGTACAACATACCCAAACTTATGGGACACTATGAAAGCAGTGCTATGAGGAAAATTCATAGCTCTAAATGCACACATAAAGAAGATGGATAAATGTCATACCAATGACTTAATAGCACAACTGAAAGCTCTAGAACAAAAAGAAACAAATTCACCCAGGAGGAATAGATGCCAGGAAATAATCAAATTGAGGGCTGAAATCAATGAAGTAGAAACCAAGAGAACAATACAAAAAAAAAAAAAAATCAATGAAACAAAGAGTTGGTTCTTTGAAAAAAATCAACAAGATAGACAAACCCCTAGCCAAATTAACCAAAAGGCAAAGAGAGAGCACCCAAATTAACAAAATCAGAAATGAAAAGTGAGAAATAACAGACAACGAGGAAATCCAGAGAATCATCAGGTCATACTTTGAAAACCTGTACTTCACAAAATTGGAAAATCTGGAAGAATTTTCTGGATAGATAACGCATATCAAAGTTAAATCAAGACCAGATTAACTATTTAAAAAGACCAATAACCCCTAAAGAAATAGAAACAGTCATCAAAAGTCTTCCAACTAAAAAGTCCAGGACCAGATGGTTTCAGAACAGAATTCTACCTGACTTTCAAAAAGAACTAATTCCAATACTCTTCAAATTGTTCCATACAATAGAAACAGAAGGAACATTACCAAACTCTTTTTATGAGGCTACAATTACCCTGATACCCAAACCACACAAAGATGCAACAAAGAAAGAGAATTTCAGACCAATCTCCCTCATGAACATTGATGCAAAAATACTCAACAAAATATTGGCAAACTGAATCCAAGAACACATCAAAAAAAATTATCCACCATGACCAAGTAGGTTTCATCCCA